GATCAATCAGAGTGACCCCCGCTGTGCATACTGATCACCGTCTAAGAAACTGAAAACACATTTACAGGTTACAGAGCGTCCCCCGTCTCAAGTGGCAGGACATCGCCAGCCATTATTCACACGTAATTACAGAAAATGAAATAGTAGTAACAGCATTTGGATTTGTTGTCTCCAGTTTGTCCAACAAAACAGGCTTTGGTTTTTTACATGTTTTGATCTGTTATCACAGTAACTTTGTTCTTGGTTATTGTACATTTTCTGTAACCATTTCTACCTCATTTTTGCGGCATATTGTACATGAAAATATTTATTTCATGTCTTTATTGATGTCTGACAATAATGTTCTTGAACTGTAATGGTCTACCTCAGAAAAGACTGTATTTTAAGAGAAGAGTATCACACAATATTAAACAGAATTTGTCAATACTGTACTGCAGTTGTTTTTATTTAAATTTTTTCAAGGTGCTGCATTTGACGCGAGTACTGAAACTACGCGATGCTGGTGCAAGGTGCTTACCTCATGTGTCTGTAGCCTGGTTTGACCCCAGCGTCGAGGTCAGCGCAGCTACTTAAAGTGATTGGTAAATTCTTATATCGTATAAACACAAAAGAATCACGTCAGGAGGCTCAGGGTTTGTTCCAACATTCGCTTGGATCAACTTCACACGGTAGGATGTACAGTCAGCAGGCAAAGTCAATAAGAAAAAAATTAAAAGGTGCACTGCTGTTATAATTAAAGCATGGTGGTGTGTCGTGATGTGTGTGTATCTGTGAGAGGTAGACGATTAGACAGAAGGAATGCGACGCATGTGAGTGTTTTAAGATAAAGACAGAGAAAAGCTGCTGTGTTTTTTTGTGTGTCCACTTGCACAAAAGTTTGTCATCCGGCTTGTTTGTGCGGTTTTATGTGTTGTGGTGTCCAGGGCAGCAACAGAGGCAGTGCTACTACACCCCTGAGGCTTCAGGCCCAGCACCAGGGCGCAGAGGTCCTTCATCCCTGTCACTGTCTGTAAACAACAGCTCTTCCCAGTGGCCTGCCCCGTGCTATTTCTGGCCCTTCCTGACATCTTTCAAAGCCTCAAAACTAACTCGAGAGCAAAAGCAAAATCCGGGCAACTCTGTGCAAAGCAGAGAAAGTTTAGGCGAAGCCTGACACTGGACGCGTTGCTCCTCGGTAATGGATAGCGCTGTCAAAGCCGAGTTTGAAACATCTGTGTCTGAATCCCAGTAGAACAGTGGTGCTGGTGGTGTTGATGACACAGTAATTAATTGTCTAATAATGATGCATAGCTCTGTTATAAGTGCAACCTTGTGCAGCGGCCGCCCTTCATCCGCTGATGAAGGATAATCGTTTCTGCAGCTGTTTAAAAATTAGCTTCTATCTTTTTCTGTCACAAACTCAATAACATAATCCACAGAGTAACACAACCTTGTAGGCAGGTAAAATAGACCATGTGATAATGTGACATTGGAAAACGAGGGGGGAGCTTTTCCACCACTTACATAGTTATCTAACACCAGAGTTATGAAACCTTATAAGTGAGATATCTGGGGATTGACAATGACGTCTCAAAGGTGATTCATGTGAAGTTGTGAAGGCCTCCATTTAGTTAACGTCAAAACAGTAGCTGATTGGCTGCCTTCAAGGTAGATATATGTCGACAGTACTTCCATAGCCAGACTTTCGGTGAGTCACTTCCAGTAGGTGACATCTGAAAAGCAGTTTGTCCTCTCCGTCCTGAGTAATGCCCGTCCTCGAGGAAGTCAATCATTTTCTTCTCCCTGCTGATTGGAGGTAATTAGGCGAGCCCAGTTTGTAATTGGATAATAAAAGATGCTAATGAGCTGCTGTCCTATTTATTTATACTGTGGCAGTGAAGAGGACACAGCCATCTTACTTTCCTTACTGTGATACATCGAGTCAAAAAGTTCTATTGAAAGTGCATTTCACAAAAGTATTACCTTTATACAAATGGGTTTATAACGTATTTAAGTAGATGATAATGTCAAAAGTGAGCATCTGTAATGGAAATCTGAGTATGTAGTTTTTGCATTGTACTGATGGATGACAATATTGTATGTTCAGTGTTTATGTATTTCTTAGTTTAGTTTAGATTATTTTTTCCGCAGCACAAATAATAGATTTTCATGTTGTTCATGGCATTTTTCAGCATCTGCCTCATTCAGAGGAGCTCTAGAAAGTTATTTATGGAAACAACCTTCATAAAAAAATAAAAAAGACGTTCATTCTCTGAATCTCATTTCACAGAGACACAGTCCTCGTCTCTACCTCTGCCGCCACGCTGCTGGCCTTCCATTGTCCAGGCCTTGATACTGACAAGGTTGACATCAGAGGAGAGCTCTGACACTTGGTGAGTTAGGACTGCCAGCTGTTAGCAATCAAGTCTATTTTGAAGTCAGGGACACATGGACCCCCAGGGCCAAAGCAGCAACTAGCCCAGCCCCCCTACCCTCCCCTCAACCCAGCCTACAACTTCCAAAACCCCCTGGTCCCACAGATAGGGAGCACAGCTGTATTAGTTCCAGATGTTGCAAGACCACAGCGAGGGCCCTTTACCTAAGAGGACCCCAGAAATGACGACAGCCCAGCACAGAGGATCATAATGCAACAAACAGCAATAACACAAACAAATGTTTCGACACCACACCACCAAAAAATGCATCAATTGTCAAGTTCCAAACGACCGTGACATTTCTTTTATTGAGCATCTTTTTTGTGATTTTCTCAAACTCGTGTCCTTGACGGAGGAAGAGCTGCACATCAGGACAGAGCACGGTCACTGCAGACTGCTTTTGAGAATAGGATCAATGCTGTTTTACATTACATATTGGCTTTCTCTTTCCTGGAAGGTGTAGCTGTCATCACAAATATTGGCCTGAATACTAAAGAGTCTAATCTTTATGGTCTGAATCCATCAGGCTGGCTACATCTGGCAGTTCAGCACAGAGCTGTATAAGACCTGAGGAGAGAACATGGAGGAAATGAATCATGACCATTAGAGGAAGATTGCAGCAAAGATCAGCAAAAAAGAAAAAGGAAAATCTTTAATTGAAGATCAAGTGAAAAAGAAGAAACAATGGAAAGTCCTCAGGTTCTGATCGAACCAACGCAGCTGCATTGTTTCTCTGGTGGAGAGGTCAATCTCAACTCTCAGGAAATTGGACCTGACAGGTGGAATGTCCTGCCCCCTCTCACATCACTTAACTGTTATCACAGAATAATAGATGTATAGGAGAATGGACAGATGTCTCTTTGACAACATTTGAAAATGAGGCATCACCGTGAGAACGACTGCAAAATCTGATATTGAAAGAAGAGGATCAAATGATTCAAGTAAAATGATTTCACAAAACTTCACCTACATCATGTTAGGGAGCCTGCAGATGATCATGCAACATCTTGCTATGATCTAATTTCTAACGGATCCCTGAACATCACGGAGGACCAGCAGGGTTTCTGCAGATCTATACCGCCTTCACGTGGCCAATCCAAGAACATGTAAAACCAGACGAATGACCAGATTGTGCCACGAATCCTCTCAGATTAGATCCGGATGAAAAATGATATATTCTATATTTTACATGGATTTATGTTATCATAAGGCTTCATCACAGTTTATGGATTTAGTCCTGCGCGATTAATTTACTGAACTCAGATGAGAGGCATCTTTTAATCCAGGAAAGTGGATTTTAAAATAATGAAATGCAAAAAGGACAATGAGACCTGATGAGGAACGTTTACAGTTACAATCAGCACACGGTTACATAAACATCAAATGTATAAACAAATAAAATCATGCGAACAAAACAAGACCACAGCAAAACCTCACACAGCAAAACAAAAGCGAAGTGTAGTGGGACCAAAATCACATTGACGCCCCCTCGTGGCTATAGTTGTGAAACACTAAAGAGAAAAGGGAGTAAAATATGACGAAAGCAATGAATCTGCATAATTATTTGCTTTTTTATTATATATTATATTATATTATATTATATGATACATTATAACGTTTTATACTTTATCTGATACGTCATACGGTTTTATACCTTGTTTTCTAAAAGTGGGTCATGTCTGGAAAACTCATGTTAAATATATTCTTCTGATAAATTGTATTCCCAGTGGGGGCCACTTAGGGTAAACAGCTGCCTTTTTTGGGCAACTCTCTGCTCACATATTTTTTGTCGGTGAAATGGAACTGGATAGTGGGAAGTGGGTAAAGTTCCCTTTCTCTCTATACTTAATAATACATAATACTTTTAAATAAACAAAAAATATACATATACATACTTTTGTGATCCTGTGGCAAACACTATTGAAATTAAAGCAGTAACATGTAATTGATTGTTAATGTTTCTATTCAGGATGTCTTTATTTATTTCATATCCTGAGTGTAAAACATGCTGAGAACACAGTGTGTGTTTTTAACAGTTAGATACAGAGTATATGTGACATCATCAGTGATGCTATTAACCGGTAACAGTTCCTGATGAATGATGATGTCACTGAGACTTGATGATGATGCAGTATTGAAGATGACAGGGTCTCACTCCTGGAGAGGGTCTGATAAAGTCTAGACTCAGAACTGGACTCAGATGTTGTGATGTTATGATGCGCACAGAAGATGCAGATGAGTCACAACAGCAGAAATAAGAACCGCAATTACTGTAACAGCCTCCACCCGAAGAAAACTGCTTTCAACACGGTCTGTGTGTGGCGACGTGTGCGCCCGGGCGCTCTCAGTCGGTGGATGCCGTTGGGAAGATGTTGGTCTCGAAGGAGCTGCCAGCGGCAGATATGGTATCACGTGTCTTACTGGAAGTTTCTGCAACTGGGGAAGTGACTCAACGTTAATCCGCCCTCGCGGTCCTTCTGCGGAACTTCATCATGTCCACCCCAGAATCACTCGTACCCCTTGGTTCACATTCCAACGTGTGGCATATGTGCGCTCTGTTTCCTGCTGTGGTTTCTGTCTTGGCGCATGGAGGCCTGCGGGGTGTACGCTGTGTTTGTGGCCTGTGAAATGGGATTTAACCACAGTGGACAGTGCGTATGGTTCGTGCCACATCCAGTGCATCACGGCTCACACGTTGTCTCGATCATGTGCAAACTTGAACGTGAGGACAGGAAATAATTACGCGCGCTCCTCCGCTCGGTGGTGACGCGTCGTGCGCGAACAGGGAAGTGTCTGAACCCACCCTGGCTTTCTGCGTTGGCGAAGTAAAAGTTGTGAGCGTCAACGGCTCGGTACAAAGGATCAGCGTTGGTCAAAGATCAGTGGGTTTACGGTCAGAGATACAGTGGATGATGGAGGGAGGACGTGTTTAGAGAGTAGCGCAGACTGGAGGAGTTATTCACCACACAAGAGGAAGAGGAAGAAGCGAAGGAGCCCAGCGCTTATCAATGTTTTGAAATCTGCCTTTAACTGAAGGTAAGAGTCGATGCAGCTTGTTGTTTTATTGAGGCCTGGTCCGCAACGAGAACCGTGTCCTCTTACAATCAAGTTTATAAAGTCAGATAGACCCAAATGTAGGTTTACTTTTAACAAGTGTCTTGTTTTTTCGTCTAATGTGGGAATTATGTTCAAGGTCGCAGCAATGTTTTGTTTGTTACTAATAAGCAAATGGATTGTTCCTAATTATCATGATCAGCCTATGTGGCAATAACCCTCTAGGTAGCATTGATGGAGCTGTTTACATGTTGATATTGTTGGAAACACACCCCAAATAACATATCATGCATGTTATTATATTCCAAACAAAAAGGCCTGGTGTAGCTGCAGTGAACTCCAACACGAAAGTTTAACTAACCCAGTAATAATAATAGCAAACTTTATTTATATAGCACAGTTACAAGGTGTTTTACACGTTAGAAATGAAACATTCAAGGCAAACAATGGGAAGCAGTTCTAAAGCAATTAGAGAGAGGACATATACAGGAATATAAATGTTACAGATGTCAAAACAAGATCAAATAAAACAATTTCAAATGATTCAAATAGATGGCTGTATTTTGTATATTCAAGTGGAGTGTTTACAGCAAGTGAAGGGACTGCAGATTCCATTGAGCCAAATCGACAGAAATTATTACACTATACAATTCAATTTCCCAGTTTGTCACCACAGCAAAAACATCTGCAAACCTCCCACTGTTTGAAATCATATCAAATCAAATAGTTGCTGTATTTAGACAAGCATAAGAACCCTGTTTATAATTCCGGCCTCTGAGGTTTTGACATTGGTTTGGTATATTTAACTCATATTTGTTCTGTTTACTTTGGCTATATACAGGGGGTTTGTGTGTTCTCCAGGCCTCTGAGGAATATTTGATCTTTTGGGCTACATAAATAAAGTTGACTTGATCTTCGCCAGAAAGCTTTTCCATGTTGTTAATATTATGTTTTTTAAACCTATCTTGAACCTAACGAAATCGTGACTGAGAGCAGAAATCAGAAAGCACTTCTACCAGTAAGACTTTCTGACTTCATCAGAAATCTCAGCAACCAAAGTTCTTCTCAACTACCAGTTTATCTTGTGCGATGAAGTTTGGGCCTTTGACTTGTAATGTCCGTCTGTGAGCTGGTGCTTTTTGTTGGGAGGAGAATCGATCGTAGTGAGTTACATGATCTTTACTGGAGTTGTTGAAGATAAGTGATCTGTGTGAGTTTGTGAGGCCTGACACTGGAGAGGGAGGAAACTTGACTCAGTGATTTCTGCAGTGGATGTTTCAGGGAGAAGAGGAAGGAGGAAAGCTCCCATGCATTGTTGCACACAAGGGATCACTTAACATGCAAGTGCAACCATGATGTGCAAGATGGGAGCGAACTGAGGAAAATGGAGAAACAACTTGTGCACCACAGAGACTAAATGTGCAGTGTCCCAGTGCATTATATAGTGAAGCGTCATCTGGGAAATGTTTTGAGTCAAACTGATCCTCCTCTTTAAATCTTTGAATCTTTTCCCAAGCACAGGTCCATATTGGATCATGTGCTCATGTCTCAAAGTCAGAGTAGTACAGCAGCTTTCACAGGGATCCTGTGAGGGCTGATGATGATGTGTTGATCCAAGATTGCAGGGCTGAGGGTCGAACAGTTGTGACGCACACTGGGACATCAGCCAACATCAGATTTGAACACATTTCACAGTGGCTACAGCTGTGAAGTGTGCCTGCTAATGTCAGTGCAGACCTAAGCAAACAGCAAAGCCTCTATAATCGTCGCTGTATTTTTGTTTAGGTTATTATTTAGACGATGATGATGGTCTAGTTCTGCAGGGTGTGAGCGCCATCAGTCCTCTTGTGCGAGCTTCCCAAAATGTTCAACAACTTCTTAAGGGTATTGCACAACACTCCATTCCTTCAGTATGACTCACCAGACTGGCTCATGTAAAAAACTCATCTGAGGGATAATTATGCTGCCAAATACAATTAAGGTGTGATAATGGTGCAAAGCTTAACAGAAGATTGTTGGTTGCACCTTCACGTTGCCAAGAGACAGGGGTGGAGTTTTGATATTTCAGTGAAAGTGTAGTTGTATTACAGCGTTTTTGTGGTTGTCTCCACCCATAGGAAGTGATGAAAGACAGTTTGCTTGGTTGTTGCCAACAACAAATGTAAGACATTTGATTTTGACGGTAGTGGTGTTTATTTCACCCACATGCAGTAGTTTTGATTTCAGTTTCAAGTTTGTTTATTGCATAGCTCTGTACCTTAGGCTTCTAATGCTGTCAAACTACACAGCTCCCAGTGTTCAGGTTCAACCTAAAGAATGATCATGAACACTGTAGTCGATTTTTAATTCATCCCACATAAAAGTTTTACTTAAGAAAATGTGAAGTCTTATTACTTAAAAGTAAGTACCTGCTTTTAAGGCATTTTTTGGAAACGTTGGGATCTCAAGTAAAATGTACGACAGTTATATTTGGGAGTGAGCAATGATTGGAGGCACAGCAGGTGTGTGTTCTGCTGGTTTGGGAGTGGTGTAATAGAGAGTCGAAATTTCCCCAGTGTGGGATGAATAAAGTGTCTCTTATCTTATCTTAAAGCTAAACAACATATTTTTTTCAAGATTTGCATCCTCAGTAGGAATGAATGTAGAGAAAAGATAGAATGTTTTTTTGGGTTTTGGTCTGGTGATGGGATTTGTTCCAGATGGAAAAATTTAATAAAAGGCGACACCAGCCTTGTTGTTGTTAGTTGGTTTGTATGATTGTAAACAAGATTCCACTAAAACAACTAAAACAACACATGTCCACAGAACTTGGTGGAAAGATAAGGTGCAGGTCAGAAACGAACCCATTACATTTTGGAGTAGATCAATTTTTTTTTTTTTCACAATGTTCACAACAATTACATTTAGCTGGCAATGA